CCCCCTAAACATTCTGCAGATTTCTCACCTGTACCTGGAAATACATGAATTTAAGTTTCAAATAGTCCTTTAACACTTGGCTTACTTTTAGCTTTTCCATTTCTTTCCTGCCCCCCCCTACAGTTTTGTGAATGCACACATTTTCAGGAACAGCATCACTCTTGCACTGAATCATTAATCTTGTTTTGATGCATCCATTATCAGCAGCTAATCCATAAGAACACCCAAAGGTGGGACAGAAAAGTATGAAAGTTCCCCGCAGCACCAAATAAATATTCCTCACAGGAGGTTCCTGCTAGCATGTACTTAACAGTACTTTTCAAAAACTTAAACAACTAATAGTCTTGCAGCACCATGAAGACTAACAAAATGTGTAGATGGTATCATGAGCTTTCGTGGGCACAACCCACTTCTTAAGATGAATGGGGTTATTAAAAGTCCAGTTTCTAATTAAACAGGGGATGGGAATAGGAGAGAAGTTAAAAGAAGGGAAAAAAAGGGGGGGAGGTGTCCATGCTACATGAAGTTGATAGAGAACAGTTTGCACCATCTCTATCAGCTTCATGTAGCATGGACACTATTTCTTCCCCCTTCCCCCCCCATTTATTTAGAAACTGGACCTTTAATAACTTCAATCATTTGAAGAAGTGGTTTGTGCCCACGAAATCTCATGATACCATCTACACCTTTTGTTAGTCTTTAAGGTGCTGCAAGACTATTTGTTGGTTTTTAAGTTTTTCCCATTACAGACTAACTCAGCTACCCCTCTGGAGCTTACTTTTCAAGCTTCTCTGTGGTAAAGATGCACTATGCAACCAAGAGTGGACCAGAATGGTAAAAGCAATAACCACAGTCCTGAAACTATTTGTATTTGGGCTTATCTTTCTGAATGCGCATCAACAGACAAGGTTTCACACACAGACTAACCATACATCAGGCTTGACACAAGTTAAATCATACAACAGTTAAGGAAATCTGACTTTTACTAGGATATAATCTTAAATCACTAAACAGGGATGCTTAGCGTTCACTATGGTCTCTACATCAAACCAGCATCAGCCACTATTAAAATAAAAGTTTCGATTTTTTTTATAATACTATTCAAGTTCTATACCTGTCTCAATCCACTGGTCAGTTTCTGGATCAACACACTGCTCTTCTTCATAGCCATTATCAAACACTCCTCAAGTTGTCAAGATTTTTGCTTGATGGTGTTTACTTTCTCTCTCAGCAAAGAGAGTGAGCCATATCCAATGTTGTTTCAGTCCCTTTATAGGTTGCTCCTCTGCCCCCTCCCCCTTCAAGCTGCTCTCCAGCGCAAGATGATCAACAAGCTGCACAGTTGAAAAACTGAATTGGCAGATATTCCCCCTCTGCACATAACCTCCATAAAATAAGTAAACCCTGCAGTTGCTCTCATTTCTGTCACCAACATCGCCTCCTCCCCGCTTCAGAAAAGGACAGCTGTTTCAACAATGAAGTACTGGAAACAACCCTGACTAGATGGGGGCGCTTTGTGTTATCCCAGATCAGACTGATTATATGCCGTATCCTTTGAATAGATCTTATTGTTTACCCTCTGCTCCTTGTGCTCCTTCCGCCCTCTCCATCCCCCACCCCACGTAATCAAATTCTGCCTGTATATCATGTTGACTGCACAAAGCAATGCAAATGTTGCACCTCCTTCCTCTTTCCAAGCTTCCCCTCTCGCCCCCGCCCCCAAATATCGCTCATGCCACCCACAGCTGGGCTGTTTTTCAGAAGGTGTTTTCACATCTCTCACTCCGTCACCAACTCCCCATGAAACACAAACACAATAAGTCAGCCACGCACCAGCGACTCACCGGAGCCCCTAAAAGGAAGTGGACATCTAATAATTAAGCTAGCAGCAAAAATAAATACATACAAATGTAAAAAAAAAAAAGCAGCCAAGCCACCCACCCTCCCGCCAACTCCCCATGAAACACAAACACAATAAGTCAGCCACGCACCAGCGACTCACCGGAGCCCCTAAAAGGAAGTGGACATCTAATAATTAAGCTAGCAGCAAAAATAAATACATACAAATGTAAAAAAAAAAAAGCAGCCAAGCCACCCACCCTCCCGCCA